GCCGGGAGACCATCCGGGAGAACGTGGAGGAGGGCTACCCCATCCTGCAGTTGCGGGCCACCGACGTCGACTCCCCGCCCAACGCCAACATCCGGTACCGCTTCGTCAACGAGCGGGCCGCGCACGCCGTCTTCGAGATCGACCCCCGCTCCGGCCTCATCACCACCAGCGGGCCGGTGGACCGGGAGAAGATGGAGAGGTATTCCTTGGTGGTGGAGGCCAACGACCAGGGGAGGGAGCCGGGGCCACGATCCGCCACCGTCAAGGTCTACATCACGGTCCTCGACGAGAACGACAACACCCCGCAGTTCAGCGAGAAGCGCTACATCGTCCAGGTGAGGGAGGACATACGGCCCCACACGGAAATCTTGCGCGTCACCGCCACGGACTTGGACAAGGACAACAACGCGCTGGTCCACTACAACATCATCAGCGGGAACAGCCGGGGCCAGTTCTCCATCGACAGCGTCACTGGGGAGATACAGGTGGTGGCCCCACTGGATTTTGAGGTGGAGCGCGAGTACGCCCTGAGGATCCGGGCTCAGGATGCAGGCCGCCCTCCCCTGTCCAACAACACTGGCATGGCCAGCATCCAAGTGGTGGACATCAATGACCACGCCCCCATCTTTGTTAGCACCCCTTTCCAAATTTCCGTCCTGGAGAACGCCCCCCTCGGCCACTCTGTCATCCACATCCAGGCCGTGGATGCGGACTATGGTGAGAACTCACGCCTGGAGTACAAACTGATGGGAGTTTCGGCCGACACTCCCTTCGTGGTGAACAGTGCCACGGGGTGGATCACGGTCAGCGGGCCCTTGGACCGGGAGCTAGTAGAGCACTATTTTTTTGGGGTAGAGGCTCGGGATCATGGCTCTCCATCGTTATCTGCCTCTGCCAGTGTCACCATCACTGTCATGGATGTCAACGACAACCGCCCCGAGTTTACCCAGAAGGAGTACTTCATCCGCCTGAACGAGGACGCGGCCGTGGGGACCAGCGTCCTCAGTGTCACGGCGATCGATCGGGATGTGAACAGCGCCATCACCTACCAGATCACGGGCGGCAACACGCGGAACCGCTTCTCCATCAGCACGCAAGGTGGGGTGGGGCTTATCACTCTTCCCCTGCCGCTGGACTACAAGCAGGAAAGGCGCTATGTGCTCACCGTGACGGCTTCTGACCGCACCCTGCGGGACAGCTGCCACGTTCACATCAACATCACTGATGCCAACACGCACAGGCCCGTGTTCCAGAGTGCCCACTACTCTGTGAGTATCAACGAGGACCGGCCTGTGGGCAGCACTGTGGTGGTAATCAGTGCCACGGATGATGACGTGGGGGAAAACGCCCGCATCACGTACTACCTCGAGGACAATGTCCCTCAGTTTCGCATTGATCCAGACTCTGGGGCCATCACTTTGCAGGCAGAGCTGGACTATGAGGACCAGGTCACCTACACGTTGGCTATCACGGCCAAGGACAACGGGATCCCCCAGAAAGCGGACACCACCTACGTTGAAATCATGGTGAACGATGTGAACGACAACGCCCCCCAGTTCGTCAGCACTCACTACCAAGGCATCATCTCTGAGGACGCGCCTCCCTTCACCAGCGTGCTCCAGATCTCTGCCACTGACCGGGATGCCCACACCAACGGGCGAGTGCAGTACACCTTCCAGAATGGGGAGGATGGGGACGGAGACTTCACCATAGAGCCCACCTCTGGGATTATTCGCACTGTCCGCAGGCTGGACCGCGAGAACGTCCCCGTCTATGAGCTGACTGCATATGCTGTGGACAGGGGCATCCCTCCTCAGCGAACACCTGTCCATATTCAGGTTACTATTCAGGATGTGAATGACAACGCCCCCGTCTTCCCTGCGGAAGAGTTTGAGGTCTTGGTGAAGGAGAACAGTATTGTAGGCTCTGTTGTTGCCCAAATCACGGCAGTGGACCCAGATGAGGGACCCAATGCCCAGATCATGTACCAGATTGTGGAAGGCAATATCCCTGAGATATTCCAGATGGACATCTTTTCTGGAGAGCTCACAGCCTTGATAGACCTGGATTATGAGACAAAACCCGAGTATGTGATTGTAGTACAGGCCACCTCTGCCCCTTTGGTCAGCAGAGCCACAGTCCACATCAAACTCATTGACCAAAATGACAACAGCCCTGTTCTCAAGAACTTCCAGATCTTGTTTAATAACTATGTGTCCAATAAATCCAACACCTTCCCCTCTGGGGTCATAGGGAAGGTCCCGGCTTATGACCCAGATGTGTCCGACCGCCTCTTCTACACCTTTGAACGGGGAAACGAACTGCACTTGTTGATTGTAAATCAATCGAGCGGGGAGCTGAGGCTGAGCCGTAAACTGGACAACAATCGTCCACTTGTGGCCTCCATGCTGGTGACTGTCACAGGTAGGGTGCGAAAATCTTAAAACGCCTGGACTAGTGTGATACCTTCCGGGGCCTTTGCCTGATTCTCCTCAGGGAGCCCCTTCGGCATCTGAGGGGTTGGGGACTAGCAACAATATTTGGATTGGGAGATGCTTCAAATCAGGAAATACTGGAGGATCTGGGAGTTGTGGAAGTAGGGGGTGCGCTGTAGGAGAGCGTTTTGTAAGGGGGCTGAGGTTGGTGGTGATCTGTAAGAACAAAGCATCGTATTCAGCTAGGAGGATTGTCTGTAGCTGCTAGTGAGACACCTTTGGAGGTGCTGTTGCTGGTGAAGCTGTGATGTGGGCTGTAAGATGCTGGCCAGGGAAGCAGGCTGGCCCCGGAGCGGCTGAGCTGGCTGCTCTTCTTTGCCGCTGGTCCAGAGGTTGGTGTGCTGCTTTGCTCCCAATCCCTGGTGACTTCTCCCCGACAGGACCAAGTGAGCTTGACTCTGCTGGAGAGGGGAGGGATTGAACTGGAGCATGGAGAGAGCCCCTGTAAAAACACTCTTCTCTTGGAGGGTGTCACTACCGACAAATGGTTTGGATCCAAATTCGGGAGTATGGTTATGGCAGCTACTGAGCGTTATGGTTTCTGGTGTGACTTCTAAAATATTCTTAATCCCATTTAGTGTTACAGAAGGCAACTGTAACAAATCTCAAAAAGGTGCTTAAAGCTCTTGCATGGTGTGTGTTGCTGGAGTATCCGAATGTGGATGCTAATGACAACTCCCCAAGGTGGTTTTGAGAAGTGTTATCGTCCCCTCCAACCAAGCTGAGGGCAGGACAAAGATGCTTCTGGGGACTTGTCTGTGAGCAGCAGGGTTTGGACCTGGAGCTCCCCGTTGCCTGAGCTTTGCCTTCACCACAAGCCTTTCTTTGCTTGTGGATGCGTGTTCTGAAATGGAGGTAGCAGTGCATCCCCTGAGCCGGAGTGACTTTGGAAGAGGGAGGGTGAGAGCGCCTCTTTGGAGATGCCAAGCACTGAACCAAGAGTTACCAAGAGTGCCTGGAGCTGTACATGAATCGTAGGTCTCCTCTGACCCTTGGCTACCAGCTGACCTCCCTGTTCACCATCTCTTTTTCTCTGGCTTATTCAACGAGGGGAAGGTTTCTTTCAAAAGGTGGAGCATACGTTTTAAATGGGAATCTGTTTGGTGCTGTTCAGCGTAGCCAGCAACAGCTCATTGGTAGATTGGGGTTCTTTGGGGGTTAATTGTAACTGCAGGGCAGGCTGGCATTGGGTGCAGGCGCACACATGCTGATTGCTGGAGATGGGGGGTGGTTTTGACCTTTCCAGCTTCTGCCTGAGTGTGTTTATGCAAGCCCTGCCTCCTCGCGCACTTAACCCTGCACAAAGGCAGGAGAAAATCACGTCCCGAAGTCCTGCGTTGAGCTGCCTTACAGCAAGAGGGCCCTTGCAATTAGAGTGTCGTCATCTTCCAGTGGGAAAGGAGACTAGGAGAGGTGTGCTTGCGAGAGAGAGGAGAAGATGGAAGGGGAAGAGCCGTGCTGGGCAGAGGGGCGAGCACAGTGGAAAATGGGTCTTTTGTTGGCTTTGACAGGAGCTGAGGAGGTGGAGATCGTGTTTGGTTTTTATTTATTTATTGTTAGAGGCCCCATCAGCCTCCCAGCTGGCAGCCCCGTCTGCTCTCCTGTCGTAGCAGTGTGTGAGGAGAGGCTGGAGGGGTGGTTTTGCAGAGCTGGTGGCCAGGAAATTTGGATCTGGTTGGCTGCGTTGTTCGTCCAGTCTCAGCCCACTCGGGAGCACGTTCCTTCTGCAGGAACCTGGCAACAATAGCACGTAGGTGGGGGACCGTGAGGGTCAGCCTCTGAGGCATGGGGTAGCCCAAGGAGGGAGCAGCTTCTCTGCCCGCCCGTGGGTTTTACGGTCCGTTTGAGGCAGGCTGAGCCTGGAGCATAGATTAATCCTGCTACATCACAGGGCAAGGGGCCTTTCTGATTCCTGTCTCCGCTTGACTGTGAGCTGTGTTTGTCCTCAGCTCAGGCTCGTAGTGGCAGGGAAGACGTAGGCCGTCACAAACCAGCATGATTCCAGTGGCACTGACGGGCAGCAAAACCAGCCCCAGCTTCTTGTGGGCGCAGGAGCACCTGTATCTGCTAAAAATTGCTCTTGGCCGCTGAAGATGCAAGCAGTGGGGAAGCAGGGCTGTGCCTGTGGGGAGCAGGGTGGTGTGAATCTGGTGTGTTGTAGGAGCCAGGCATTATGTTGGCTTGCAGCCTTCCCAGATGGGCTTCAGAGGGCTGGACTGTTGGGCTGATGGTGACAGTTGAGGCCCAACAGCTCTCAGGCCGTGGCTGCTGTGCTGCTCTTGTTCCCCTTAAGCTCTTTATGTGCGGTCTCTCTCTGGGCCCAGAGGCCAAGAGCTTGTCCCTGGCATTCATACCTGCTGACCTGCTTCCATGCTCACCTGGGCCTCTCTTGGCTAGTGGGTGGGTTTGATCTTCAAATCTTGAAAGGTGACCCACTTATCTAAGATGTCTCATTTTAAATCAGCCTGGCAGGTAAGAACCCTGGAGCACATCTGTCCTGACTCCTGTCTGAGCATGTCAGATCCTTCTTTTCAAGTCAGGGATGGGTCTTAGGGCTGCCTTTGCCCTTCACAGCTTGCTCATTTTGGTTCTCCTGAAGGTCCCTGTCTTGGGAGCTTCCTCCCCTATTAGGACCATCACAGCCGGAGGTGCTGACCACAGAGAAGGTGGATTTTGGTTCTCAGTTAAGGAGTAGATTTGGAGTTTTCTTGGTTATAATATTTTAGTCTCTTAGTTTTTAGAGTTGACAGGAGAGGGACACTTGCGTTCTGTGCTCTTTGAGGGAAGTCTAATTTAATTCTGAGATCTCTTCCTCTGTCAGAGGAACATCAAAACCTTGAGAGATCTCTCAATGCCCTTTGGGAAATGGTGAGCAGCAATTCACCTCACCGATACCAGTCTCTCTGTTACTCTCTCCTCCTTGTATGCCTTCTGCTGGGAAGGCATTTTGTTGCTCCTCAGCCCCAAATTTGAAAGTTACTCTTTTCAGTGCCTGCGGCACCATCGCTTGTCCCCGCAGTGGCTGGTTGGGGTGTCACAGTCAGGGCTGTGGCCTTGCGCTCTCCCCTTAGGTAGGCTTTTGCTCTCTAACACTGGCTCTGCTGTTCAGCAGAGGCTAAGCAGCAATCCACTGGAGCCCCTCTCTGAGCTCCTAATCCTTCTGTGTGAAATGCAGGGGCCTGTTCTCCTTGGGGGTCCTGCTGGCCTGCTCTTTGAGCTGAGCTGGCTCGTTCCCGTTCCCTGAGGCTTCTAGAAGTGCAGTTCCCTGGCCCCAGCCCAGGCCCTTTTGGGGAGGCCTGTGTTTGCTTTCCTGCCAGGCTAAGTGAAGGTCCCTCCAGAAGCTTGTCCTTGTATTTGCCTTTTCCTCCACCTGCATAGAAGGGTAGTCCCATGTCCCTTGGCGATGCTTGGATATATCGAGGAAATGACTGCTCACTCGGTGGTCGGCAGAGGTGGTCATCAGGCTCCGCAGCTGGGACAGACCCAACTCTCTGCCTGTGACTCTGGGGCTCTCTAGATGGCAGCGTTGGCCAGGGCTCTGCCCGGTGACCCAGAGCCTCTGGGAACGTGGGGGGACAGGAGAGATGGGGAAATGCCCTGGAAGACCCAAGAGACCATAGCACAGCCCATGCTGAGCAGCAGTCACTGGCTCTGCTCCCTCGGAGGGGTCTGCAGTGCAGGCCTGGGAGTTTTGCTCTGTTCCCAGGCTGTTAGTGCGGGCAGCCCCTAGCCGTCCCCGCTGTATGGGGGCTCTCGGGGGGGGGGGGGGGGGCT